TATATGGAGGATGGTCCAATAATTCCACGTTTTCTTCCGTTAAATGACTTTTGGCAAACAAATGGTGGTATACCAATCCGCAGTAACAGCTATTTGCTCATTAAGAGGAATTGCTGTAATATGACCCGCTTTTGACACAAATGTCGCGACCACCTTGCACTGATCAACACTTGTGAACATGTCTCTGGCATAACAAGTGGCTTGCACATTTAAAGTAGGTTTCCTTTTTCGGGTGATATACTCATCTTCATGGCGATTTGGTTTCAGGATTCCTATATGTGTACAATCAATTACACCAATTGCTGTCGGAAATTTATACATGCCTTGCCATATCCGCTTGGCCTCCATCAGTTCATGGTTGGTAGTTGGAAACTTGATCCATTCGCTCGACTGTGCACCTATGCTGTTCACAACTCTATCCACAGTCCGAGATAACGTTGCTTGACTAACACCAAGTTCCTGACCAATACCTTGTTGATATCCAGAGCCACCGAGATAGCGTAGACATAGCAAAAGCATTTACTTCAAACTATTATAAATACCATCTGGAGGATTTTCTTCAAAATTTGCAAGAACAAGTATATTCTTTGATTTACGAATACGGCTCAATGGTCACTGTCATTGATCTGTACGCTAAAAAAATGGTAGCCTTGGTAGCCGAAACGTTAGTAAAGAGTAATTCCGATATACATGGTTTCTATCAGCGTGAAAAAAACAGGATGAGTTTCGAATGTTCTAACGCAATACTAATTGCATTGAAGATCAATACTAAATGGTTTATCAACGTCACTTCGCCGGTGATAGCTCAGCACTGAGCAGAGCCATTCAGGCCATTACGTTTGCCCGTCACTTGTCATGACCATAACGGCGTTATCGCGCAACATCATCAGACATACAATAAAATTTGAGAACTCGTATCAGCCAGTTTAGCAGCTCTAATGGAAGCACTTTGCGCTCCCGGCTTTATCGGCGTTTTAGAGCACATGACCCAAATCTGTTTAGCTAAACCCGCAAAAAACTGAATGTATGCATAGACGCCACGATCTCATTGTCGCAGCAGCAGTTGGAAAACGATGTGCTTTGAAAACGCGTCAAGAAGCAGCCTTGGCTATGAAATAAGATAGTAGTGGATGCATCATTACGTTACAAGGGTTAAAATCAGAGAGGTGAGCATTTTAAGTTTACAAATATCTGAGAAATTAAGTTTCCTTTTGAAGAAAACTAACAAGAGGAGTCTATTGTGTCATTTATCAGGAATATTTTCCGAAAAATATATAAAGTTGGGGTTCTCCTTTTCAGAAACAGCTACCCTTGAAATAACAAAGGTAATGTGTAGTGAAACGAGGGCGACCAAGTAAAAAAAATAATAGAAAAAGTACTCACTCTCCAGTTGACGAGAAGGGCTAAGTACGTCTCTGTCCGAAATCATACCGCTGCAACAGATAATGAAATCAGCTGCTGCGCTACCGAGCAGACGCCGGCGGTGGTGCAGACCACGAACAGAGGTAACAAATATGACGGCGTTGCCGCGTTTTCAGTTTTTAGGTAAACGTACTTTATAGGTATTGTTCGAAGTTATCACCGTTTGATTCAAAAACACAGGTGCGTGCACGACGTAGTCAATCATCGGTGTAGGCTTTGAGAATGGAGTCCCTCCTCCGAATGAAAGCACCAGCTTTTTCAATTCTGAGACGAAGTTCGTCAACCGTATGCACTTCAGTTTTGTACACTAAGCGTTTCATATCTCCCCAAAGAAAAAAAATCACATGGTGTTAAGACTGGAGATCGCGGAGGCCACGCTACGGGTCCATTACGTCCGAATCACCTATTCGGAAATAACGCACTTCGTGTCTAAAATGGGGCGGTGCACCATCGTGCAGAAACCACATTGATTGTCTTGCACTTAATGGCACATCTTCTAACAAGGAAGGCAAAATTTTGCGTAAAAAGTCTAGGTATTGCATCCCGTCCAATCGATTTGGGAGAATAAATGGTCCAATGAGCATACCGTTCACCATGCCAGCCCAAACATTCACCGAAAATGTTTGTTGAAAATGTGCCCGACGGACAGCGTGCGGATGTTCTACCGACCAAACATGAGTGTTGCGAAAGTTATTCACCCCATTACGCGTGAACGTAGATTCGTCTGTCACCAATATGCACTTCAAAAAGTCCGGATTATTGTTATGTTGATGCAATAACCACTCACAAAACCGCACTCTTGCTGGAAAATCGTCAGGTTGAAGGCCTTGTACACGTTGGACATGAAACGGATACAGCTCCTCTCCACGCAGCGTTTGCCACACTTTAGTTTTTGATACTTGCACTTCTCTAGCCACGTCTCTAGAGCTTGTTGTTTTTTAAAACGCAATCGATTATACGGGTTCGTTTACCTCTACACGCGTGACCGTAACCGTCGGTTCAAGGTTGCATACTGACCTGACACACTGACCCCGACCCAGTTCTGTCGTCGGGTTGAGCCAGTGACCTTGTACCACTCGGTGATGTCGCGGGTCGCGGCTACAGGACGGTATTCAGATATTTTTGATGTTGCAGAGCCCTTTATCTCGGTTCCCTTAAGACATTGGTGTATATGGTACTAAGAAAAATTGCTGATGTTTTCAAGATCTACACGTCGTGTAAAGGAAAACCCCAACTTTGCGGACACCCTGTATTTTGGAAATTGTACCCGTTAATAAGAATTATCCTAGAGTCGTGAGTCACTTCGGGAACACTGTTAAACGTAGTCTAAATAATAATATAACTTATTTAAGAATCACCTTCAATCAATTGTAATAAACCTGCTCCTAAATCGCAAAATATTATTTTGTAATTTATCATAATCAAAACACTTATTTTTCAAATTACGCATTAAAATAAATCGTAGACACCTGGCCACTCAGTATCACTCTTATTCAATATCACATTTCCCGCACGACCGTCATGCTTACGTTGAATGTGATACAGATCCCGCCGTGCTGTTTGAACCATATCATGGAGATGTATCCATCAAATTCTTGGAGCTTTGAGACCAAATGCTCTCTCAAGGTGTAGATTTTCACCCAATTTGGGACAAATTTCGAGTATGACATCACCATCACAATGAAGTCCTAACCTGTCCTCTCCTAAGTTATTAATAAGGAAACATCTACTCTTGCGAACTCTTTAGTAGTAATTTAAAACTCTCAAGGAGTCAAGCTGCGACAATCTTCAAAAAGGTGACAATTTCAAGAGCAAATTGTTAAAAAAACAAGGGTTTCGTTTGGAAGTGTTTTCGTCGATCTGGACATCTCAGGTATGCTATATTTTTTCATCATAAGCGGTCTTAGTTATATCTTGCTAGGGTTCCTCCTTTTCCATTTCTCCTCTCACGATACCCGCGGGTGTTTAGGCTGCTTCTAAGTAAAGTGCTTTCAGAAGTGATTTTTATATATATATATATATATACTAAGTGACATAAATCCGATCACCCAGTTTAAATGGTTTTATTTTAATAAAATTTTGTATAAGTACTTAATGAAGCATAATAAGTAAATGATAAAAATTTCAAAATGATTGCACTGCTTTAAAGCCCTTTGACCTTTAATAATGTGTGGATGCACCCTGATGTGCTACGCATTCTCCAACGCGCCTAGGCATCCTTCTGATCAGGTGGTCAATGTCCTCCTGTGGTATCTCATTCCAGGCAACCACCAACTCCTCTCGAAGTGCTTCTAGAGTCTGAGGAGGACGTTGCAAATTCAGCAATCTCCTACCCATCATATCCCACACGTGCTCAATTGGGGATAAGTCGGGAGATCTTGGTGGCCATGGTAACAATGTGACATCATTATGTTGAAAGAAGTCTATTGTGACTCTTGCAACATGTGGTCGGGCATTATCTTGTTGGAAAGTTGGATCTGCCAGGGTGTCAAGATAGGGTAAAAGATGGGGTTCTAGAACTTCGTGGATATAACGCTGCGCGGTCATGTTACCTCTGATGAAGATTAAAGGTGACCTGGAACCATAAGCTATAGCACCCCAAACCATAACTCCAACAGTGTGATGAACATGTCTTTCAACAAAAAACTGTGGATTTCTCCTTTCACCAAGTCGTCTTCTAACCCTGGCACCACCATCGTGCATGCCTAAACAAAATCGAGACTCGTCACTAAAGACAATACTGTTCCATTCCTGATCCCAGAGTGACCGTTGTCTGCACCACTCAAGGCGATTACGTCGGTGTTCTCGAGTTAAAGGGAGGACCCAGTGTGGCCGGTATGAAAACAAGCCAAAACTTCTCATTCGTCGGTAAACACTTCGCATGCCAATAGGTCTTCCGTGTTCTACAAACCATTCATTTGCAATGGACCTGGTAGTGGAGAAACGGTCCCTTAAGGCCAATAATCTTAGGCAGCGATCTTCAAGGTCTGTTGTTCTACGGCGGCGTCCAGTGCCCCTTGCTCTTTGCGTACGGCCTTCTCGAAGCCATGCCTGACAACACCTAACCACAGTGTCTACACTTCTTTGCACTCTAACTGCAATTGCCCGAAAAGAAAGTCCAGCTTCCCGAAGTCCCACTATACGGCCCCTATCAAACTCACTAAGTTGACGAAATCGTACAGGTCTCCATACTCTAGGCATCGTAACCGATCGTAAAGGATGTCGAGAACCAAAATCCGCCAACGTTGATTCTTTACTGCGGCTGAAATATTCATTTTTAGAGCGTTAGTGAATTAAAAAAAAGCAGTATAAAAACCGGAATGTCCAACTGATAAGGCTGAAAATTTTTTCACTTGTTTTTTACAGTAAGATAAATACATTCACCAACTTTTATTAAAATAAAACCATTTAAACTGGGTGTTCGGATTTATATGTCACTTAGTATATTATAGGTGGTACCTACTCCCAAGTATTGCAAACTAGAATGGCATTCATGACCATCCAAGATTAAAAAAGGGAAAAAGCCACTGCAAGCGTCTCCAAAACATGAGGAATGGTTTCGCTAGCTGGTTAGCTACTGGCACTGCTTTTTGGACAGTGTCAGCTCAGGAAGCATCCTATAATGTGAGATTGGGTACAACCTGGTCATGTCCAGGATGTGAGCAGGGGGATGAGGCAGGTTGAGTACTCCCTTAGCGACTGCAAAGTTATCCTGTCCATCCGGGAGACCAACCAGGAGAGGATGTGTTCTCGAACGTCGAATGGCCAATGTCGCATGCAACAAAACTTTTTTGACAATTCGACAAACGGCAGGTGGATAATCTGCTTGAAAATACTTACATTTTTCTACGTTAACTGCTACCTTTTCCTCACATCCGTCTCGAAAACAAATAACCTGACAAAAGTGACAGAACAAAGGCAAACGATGCTAAGAGTCACAAAAATAGAATCCCAGTGTCTCAAGCTAGAATATGCCGCATACGGGATTCCAGAATACCCTCCAGAATTCAAATTCCTCAGCGCAGTAGGACAGGATGCTCCCTAGGGAATGATCACAACTTCTGACAGCTGTTGACATTTGTTATACAAGTTTGTGAATGCATTCCTTTTCAGCAAAACAATATATCCCTAAGTTCTTCACATCATTTAACGTTCCTCCACAAATTCAACTTGGTCTTTAGAGGTGAGACTGATGGGGCACGAGGAGAGTTCTGCACTTTTCTCTTGAAGGCGAGTCGGGGAGCAACTTTTCTATTAGTGTTTAGAAAAAGCATAAAATTAAACTAAGGATTTTTTTATCTACACTAGAACTTATGTCCCATTAACCAGATCCGAATTTTTACTTAATTTCTATGAAACGCACACGAGAAAATAAAAATCCGCACGCCAATGTCTGATGAGCGTCGTTGCATGCGATTTTTCTCGTTCCGCGTTGCCTTTGAATACTTTTCCCATAATGCGCACTGTTTCTAGAACGCCGTCATTATTCTTATTGGTACCTCGCACCCGGTACATTTCCGAGAATCCGAAGCCGATTTTCACACACGGCAACTGAAAAGAAGGATGAAGTAATTTGGGTAAGGTAGGCGTGTCGCAATTCTTGGAACATAACTTGAATCTATCGAGATCGTTCTCGAAAGGCGCTATTAGAATTCTTTTGACTATACAAAACGGGCAGTACAAGGATGACAGATTCGTATTATATTGACACGATTTCACTTTCATGAACAGACAAAATGCATAAGCACTCCTTGGCCAAGGGATAGATTTGTTATCAGAAAGTCTTAGGGTCGTATCGTCAGTCACTCGCCTCCTTGATTTCATAGTTTTCTACTGTTGCGTGGCAGCACTCCATTTTGAGGTTATGTTACAAATATCTATTTGCATCAAATTGTTCATGCTTTTGATTTATATCATCTGTTATGTCAGCCTAAAATTTTCTACAATTCATATCAAATATCATAACAAGAGAATGCTGACGCTGACACCGAACAGTAGTTTGGAAATAGGCCAGAGAAAATAGTTTGAGAATCAAGGCGGCCTACAATCATACGAACGACTGACGATACGGCCGTTGAGGAATCAACATTTGGCCGTTTCCCCTGGCACTTTCACCTTGCATCTCTCATCTCAACCTGTCATGAATTTTAACGTTTTTAGCGTATACAATAACGAACCACTATCTAAATACGTCGATTGGACATGGTCAGGCATGCATGTAGGTGTTCTATCGTTTTTAGGATCCTTTATTACAAAGTCAAAATGCTTCCGTTCAAACCTTCTACGAACGAATTACCTGCCCACTCCCAACTCCAATCCTGGCAGGATTTAAAAAATAAATGATGCAGAAATGCATTCTACATGCAGCGTCACTCGTTATTTCATATTTGAAATGTATGCACGTCTTGTTTACTTGCGAGGCTATGCTCGGAGAGTGTATGAAACAGCTTCACCTGGAAGCTGAAATTTCTCGGAGAAACCGTCTAGTAGCAACATACCGCGATCAAAAAGGAAATCCGCAGTTTTTAACCCGCAGGGCAGATTATCCAAAGAGCGATTCTAAACGAACACACGGCGTGGGTAGCTTTGTACGCTAGGAAATGAAGCATGACGATATACATATGGGTGATTCCTCTCGTATTTTTTTAAAGTTCAATTATATCCAGTAACAGGTAGACCATAATAAAACCCCGGTTTATTTTTGTACGTACCTGCCATTTCGGCTGATGTATTTTTGTTTTGTATGCTTATGCGAAACGAGCTCGCCGTCAGCTCTTTGACTCATCTCTCAACGACGTCCCAAAACTTAAGCCTAGACCATGCTGATGAGCTACTAAAAAGCACGAAACCGCTATCGATGGTTGGCTGTAAAGCAATATGTTAAGTTTTTTAGATGGCTAGTTGACCTCATACACTTTACCGCCAGAATCGTCAGCATCTAGCGGTCACAGTGGTTACTGGGCTATCAAACGCGAGCTGCGATCTTTACAGTACCAACCGCAGTGATTGATTCTAGTAATAGTTGGCCTTTACGCTGGCTTATTTCTATAGTTATTATGCCTCGGATAGATTGTTGCTATATTTCACTTAGTTGTCCCATGGTCCAAGCCGAGGCCGTACTCATGAGTTGCCAAGAAGCATGAAGCAGCTGGCCATGGTTGGCTGTCTGTAGTCGGATGCCTTATAATGTCTTGTTTTGATACAGGTGCAGTGGAGATCTGCGGACGGCATTCAACATTATTGCTCGTCCATGTAATCCCAATGGCAAGGACATGTCGACATACCTGTATGTATACAGGGTGACTTTGAAGTTGAGTCATTAATTTTCAGATAATGATTGTAGAAGGAAGATAAACCGAAATATGTGTGTAAAAATAAAAAAAATTAAAAAAAAATTGTTTACCTTGTTTTATAAAGTATCCTCCCGACAAGTATTTCAGTGCGGACCTGTATTTGATCGTGAGGTCTTTGAGCACCGGCATGCCCTCCTCTGTGAGGTCTTAAGTCACCTGATTCACGAGCCCGTTGTACTACATTAACAAAGGCACGAGGGGTTGGTTGCACTCGATTGGGAAACTGATCCGCATAAATATGTGCCATTTTTTATTTCGTTTTGAGCCACGCAGCAAACACCACTATTCACTCACGCGTTACCGACTGACACATTGACTGAATAAAAACATCGTGATCAGCGTTTCAAATTCTTTCGCTTTTTTGTTTCCGATGCGATGAACCGATAAGGCGGAGTATATCCGTTGTTGCCAAGCACGAGCACATAATATTATTATTGAGACAGGGCGGTACTCAAACTTCTAAAGGGCTATAACTTGTTACTTTAATTTTACCACAAAATGTTAAAGGAAAAAAAACATTTCTTTTGATCAAATCTACTCACTGTTGAAATAAATGACTCAACTTCGAAGTCACCCTATACATAATATATTAAACACAACTCATATAGTTAGTATCAAACCAAATCAGTTACTTTTCTCCATGTAAATTTAGAAAGACCAGACATGTATAAGACAACAGAATGAAAATTGGCAGCATGTTATTAAAAGTACTCACGTTGCCGCACATTTTGCAATATTTGAGGAGCAATTCACAATTCTTTGTCGCAGGTCTTCTAATGATGTTGGCTGAGTAGCAAAGATTTTGCTTTTTAAATGACCCGACATAAATAAATCGGGGGCCATTCAATGGCACCTCTTCTACCAATGCATCGATCGGGAAACGTCTGATCTAAATATTGTCGAACACGTAATGCGTAATGTGGTGGGGCACCATCCTATTTGAACATCAACCTATTCGAAACGTACGGGCCGATCATTCTGATTTTCAATTATGGCTGTTATTGCAGAACCTATAGCGTCTTCCAGTAATTCCAAATATACTAAGTGACATATAAATCCGAACACCCCAGTTTAAATGGTTTCATTTTAATAAAATTTTGTATAAGTACTTAACGAAGCATAATAAGTAAATGATAAAATTTCAAAATGATTGCACTGCTTTAAAGCCCTTTGACCTTTAATAATGTGTGAATGCACCCTGATGTGCTACGCATTCTCCAACGCGCCTAGGCATGCTTCTGATCAGGTGGTCAATGTCCTCCTGTGGTATCTCATTCCAGGCAACCACAAACTCCTCTCGAAGTGCTTCTAGAGTCTGGAGGAGGACGTTGCAAATTGAGCAATCGCCTACCCATCATATCCCACACGTGCTCAATTGGGAATAAGTCGGGAGATCTTGGTGGCCATGGTGACAATGTGACATCATTATGTTGAAAAGAAGTCTATTGTTGACTCTTGCAACATGTGGTCGGGCATTATCTTGTTGGAAAGTTGGATCTGCCAGGGTTGTCAAGATTAGGGTAAAAGATGGGGTTCTAGAACATTCGTGATATAACGCTGCGCGTTCATGTTACCTCTGATGAAGATTAAAGGTGACCTGGAAACCATAAGCTATAGCACCCCAAACCATAACTCCAACAGTGTGCTGAACATGTCTTCCAACAAAAAACTGTTGATTCCTCCTTTCACGACGTCGCCTTCTAACCCTGGCACGACCATCGTGCATGCCTAAACAAATCGAGACTCGTTACTAAAGACAATACTGTTCCATTCCTGATCCCAGAGTGACTGTTGTCTGCACCACTCAAGGCGATTACGTCGGTGTTCTCGACTTAAAGGGAGGACCCAGTGTGGCCGGTATGAAAACAAGCCAAAACTTCTCATTCGTCGGTAAACACTTCGGCATGCCAATAGGTCTTCCGTGTTCTGCAAACCATTCATTTGCAATGGACCTGGTAGTGGAGAAACGGTCCCTTAAGGCCAATAATCTTAGGCGGCGATCTTCACGGTCTGTTGTTCTACGGCGGCGTCCAGTGCCCCTTGCTCTTTGCGTACGGCCTTCTCGAAGCCATGCCTGACCAACACCTAACCACAGTGTCTACACTTCTTTGCACTCTAACTGCAATTGCCCGAAAAGAAAGTCCAGCTTCCCGAAGTCCCACTATACGGCCCCTATCAAACTCACTAAGTTGACGAAATCGTACAGGTCTCCGTACTCTAGGCATCGTAACCGTTCGTAAAGGATGTCAAGAACCAAAATCCGCCAACGTTGACTCTTTACTGCGGCTGAAATATTCATTTTTAGAGCGTTAGTGAATTAAAAAAAAGCAGTATAAAAACCAGAATGTCCAACTGATAAGGCTGAAAATTTTTTCACTTGTTATTTACAGTAAGATAAATACATTCACCAACTTTTATTAAAATAAAACCATTTAAACTGGGTGTTCGGATTTATATGTCACTTAGTATACATTTCACCGGTCAAATTTTCAGGTAAGAAAAAAGGACCAACTAAATGATCGCCTGATTATTCCGAAAAATATTCCGATAATGTCAACTCTTTCTGCTGTGGGAATATACCATGGTTAATTTATGAAATACAGCGTTACAAGTTATTTTAGAAACAAATTTTGGTCAAATCAATCGCAAACTATGTACTAAATTCCTATTTGAAATAAGTACGAGATAGTTCGTTATCTTTCTTCAAGAAATAACTTTTTTGCCACAAAAAAAACGCTCCAATAGCTATTTTCAAATCAACAACAAATGATAGACAAACCATAGGCGTAGTGAAGAAAAGCATTTACTTATTAAGTAAATTCTTTTAGTCGTATTTCTTCTGAAAGTAGTACAAACTAATCTGAGGTACCTATTAAAGACCACTTTATGCTTTAAATCAATAAATCCTCAAAACTACTGAACTGAATGTATGTATTTTACATCATTATAAAGAGAATTGAAAGACCTTTAAAGTAAGGTATCACTGGACCTCCCTCTCCATTTAAGATTTTAGGGTTGGTGTCACCCCCGCCTAGGGGGCTGCACGTGTTAACGTGATTTTTTGGCAAACTTGTGTCCTCCTCGAAAACAAAATCGACGGGTCTGAGCGTTTTCAAAAAAAAACTGAGCTGTCAGTAAATGCGTCTTCGATGGGCCACCCTATATATATATATATATATATACAAGTATATATATATA